ATGCTGGGGGTTATTATTGTGCCCACAGACGCCTATGCTGGGGGTTATTATTGTGCCCACAGACGCCTATGCTGGGGGTTATTATTGTGCCCACTGACGCCTATGCTGGGGGTTATTATTGTGCCCACTGACGCCTATGCTGGGGGTTATTCTTGTGCCCACTGACGCCTATGCTGGGGGTTATTGTGCCCACTGACGCCTATGCTGGGGGTTATTATTGTGCCCGCTGGCGCTGTGGTTGTGGCTGCGCCCACTGACGCCGGTGCTGGGGGGTTGTGGCTGCGCCCACTGACGCCGGTGCTGGGGGGTTGTGGCTGCGCCCACTGACGCCGGTGCTGGGGGGTTGTGGCTGCGCCCACTGACGCCGGTGCTGGGGGGTTGTGGCTGCGCCCACTGACGCCGGTGCTGGGGGGTTGTGGCTGCGCCCACTGACGCCGGTGCTGGGGGGTTGTGGCTGCGCCCACTGACGCCGGTGCTGGGGGGTTGTGGCTGCGCCCACTGACGCCGGTGCTGGGGGGTTGTGGCTGCGCCCACTGACGCCGGTGCTGGGGGGTTGTGGCTGCGCCCACTGACGCCGGTGCTGGGGGGTTGTGGCTGCGCCCACTGACGCCGGTGCTGGGGGGTTGTGGCTGCGCCCACTGACGCCGGTGCTGGGGGGTTGTGGCTGCGCCCACTGACGCCGGTGCTGGGGGGTTGTGGCTGCGCCCACTGACGCCGGTGCTGGGGGGTTGTGGCTGCGCCCACTGACGCCGGTGCTGGGGGGTTGTGGCTGCGCCCACTGACGCCGGTGCTGGGGGGTTGTGGCTGCGCCCACTGACGCCGGTGCTGGGGGGTTGTGGCTGCGCCCACTGACGCCGGTGCTGGGGGGTTGTGGCTGCGCCCACTGACGCCGGTGCTGGGGGGTTGTGGCTGCGCCCACTGACGCCGGTGCTGGGGGGTTGTGGCTGCGCCCACTGACGCCGGTGCTGGGGGGTTGTGGCTGCGCCCACTGACGCCGGTGCTGGGGGGTTGTGGCTGCGCCCACTGACGCCGGTGCTGGGGGGTTGTGGCTGCGCCCACTGACGCCGGTGCTGGGGGGTTGTGGCTGCGCCCACTGACGCCGGTGCTGGGGGGTTGTGGCTATTGCTAATATGCTGCAGGACCAACATTTGTGGTGCGTTAAAGTGATTTGCAATGGGAATGCTTCTGGAAAGGTGCTGCCCTTGTGTGGCCCTCTGATGTGTTGGGGCCGCGCTCAAGGTCCTTTGACTTCCCCTCTGATTTGCGCTCTCTTCTTTCAGCTCTCCTTCGTGCAGCATTCCTTGATTAATCCGGACATCTTCTGCTTTGCCGACTACCCCTGTCACGCCGTGGCAACTGACATCCTAAAGGCTCCACCAGAAGACGACAATCGGGAGATAGCGACATGGTAATTGTGGTTTGGGTGACGCATGTCACGTTTGTGGTTTGTCTGTTGTCTGACGACATGCCCTCCTTCCCTCCCCAGGAAAAGTTTGGATCTGATCGAGTCCCTGCTTCGGCTGGCTGAGGTGGGCCAATACGAGCAGGTCAAGCAGCTCTTCAGCTACCCCATCAAACACTGTCCTGACATGCTGGTCCTGGCTCTGCTCCAAATCAACACTTCCTGGCACACCCTGCGCCATGAACTCATCTCCACCCTGATGCCAATCTTTCTGGGTAACCATCCCAACTCCGCCATCATTTTGCACTATGCGTGGCATGGCCAGGTGAGTGCTTTGCCACCGTGAACATAAAATGTGTTTGTTGTCTTTTACAAGGGGGAATGATTGACAGATCCATGCTTCTCCCACAGGGCCAGTCTCCCTCCATCCGCCAGCTGATCATGCATGCCATGGCAGAGTGGTATATGCGTGGTGAGCAGTATGACCAGGCCCGCCTGTCTCGTATACTTGATGTGGCCCAGGACTTGAAGGTAAGAGAGGGGGGGGGGTTGTGAATCACATTTGATTTTCAAAGATCCGATTGGACAGTTGTATAGTTCTACCAATCATCTATCCAGGACAGCACAACTTTATACACAAGGGGTTAACGTTCAGGGGTCTGAGTGTCAGACGGAAGGAAGACTGTGGTGGAGAGTTCAGTCTTTGATTGGCAGGCGTGGATGTAATGACGGCCTGTGTATGTGCGTTCTGCCCCTGCGTTTACTCCACCATTCTGTGTAGATTGACCGATCTCTCTGCTCCTCTAGGCCTTGTCAATGCTGCTGAATGGTACTCCATTTGCCTTTGTTATTGATCTTGCTGCACTCGCTTCGCGCCGGGAATACCTCAAACTGGACAAATGGCTGACGGATAAAATACGGGAACACGGGGTGAGTGATGTCGCTCTCTCCGCTGGGGTAGAATCGTATTTGTCTGATCCAAGTTTAATAATTGCACCTTTTTCCTTTATTTTCAGGAGCCCTTTGTCCAAGCCTGCATGACGTTCCTCAAGCGGCGCTGTCCTTCCATACTGGGCGGCATGGCTCCAGAGAAAGACCAGCCAAAGAGCGCCCAGCTTCCGCCTGAAACTCTGGCCACAATGCTGGCATGCCTTCAGGCTTGTGCGGGGTAAGTACTTATGTGTACATTAGTCTCAGGCGCAGTGGGCCGGGTAGGTCCCTATGCGCACATTAGTCTCAGGCGCAGTGGGCCGGGTAGGGCCCTATGTGTACATTAGTCTCAGACGCAGTGGTGAGGGGTAGGCCCCTATGTGCATATTGGTCTCGGATGCAGTGGGCAGGGTAGGCCCCTATGTGCATATTGGTCTCAGGCGCAGTGGGCCGGGTAGGTCCTTATGCGCACATTAGTCTCAGGCGCAGTGGGCCGGGTAGGGCCATATGTGTACATTAGTCTCAGGCGCAGTGGGCCGGGTAGGTCCTTAGGCGACCC